ATAAAAAATAAATGCCCAATGTATGGTTTGTCTATATTTCTGAGATGAGGTGTTATGTACATTATTTACATTTTTCGGACTATTGTCCTCATCTTTGTCGCCATTATCACAACGTTTTGGCCGTTGTGATAATAGCGACAAAGATGAGGACAATAGCCCGAATAATGCCAATGTATGGTGTTTGTAAAACGGAAGGAGTAGTTTACAAAGTGGAAGTGAAGGACGGAAATGGCCAGAGCAAAATATATCTGGGGTGTACTGGAGGTACAAAAGAGATGGTATATTCACAAGTCATCGTTCAGGATAGAAAGCCATAGGAATTGTACCAAACTGACCAAATATGTGTGGGAATTAAAAGAAGAAAATAACAACCAAGCCCTCATGCAAGCTGGAGTATACTGAGGAGAGTCAAGCTTTACAGTAATGGTGGGGATATCTGCAAGCTATGCCCGGATGAAAAACTAGCAATAGTAACATATCAAAACCAAAAAAAAAATGAAAGGTCTGAGTTAATGTAGGAGTGTAGACACACTAAAAAGTATATTTTGGGTTTATACAAACACGGATAAAAGTAAATATAAGTTTTTTCAGTTTCATTCCTACCCTATTTCTTCACTCTTGCCTCACCCTCCCTTTCTTTTGCACTTCCTGTTGTGTGCACATAAAATAAACAAATATAGCGTTAGGAGATTAAATAGCATCTACCGCCTGACGAAACCTCAACGTTTTAAACCATGGTAGCAAGTGCGTGAATGATTAATCTTCCCGTTTTCTAATATTATGCACACACACACACATAGGGAGATAGAGAAACCTCACCTGAAAGTGGACCATACATTCTCGTCCGCGATGTTTTAGATACTGCCCTCCTCCTCTTGTTTATATATTTATCTGTATCGTGCAGCTCGTTCCCACGCTTGCAAAAAGGGTTACCTTTGAGGTTACGGAATTCTGCATTCTGTAGCTAGAAGGTCACATCAAATTACCCCTGCACCTGGCTTTGATGATGGGTATGCGCAATTTCTATTCTGGTATGATACGGGAGGAAACACACACATTATATATATATATATATATATATATATATATATATATATATATATATATATATATATATATATATGCTCCTAAAAATTTATTTCGGTTGAGCTCTCTGGGGAGGAAATGTGAGTTTGTAAACAGTGATTATTATGGCTAATAATGCAAGACTCTTCGGTAAATCGAATTGAGTGCTCTCAGTCACTGGGTGTTTATCTAAAAATAAATACACTTAAAATTCACTTTCATCCCTGCCGTGCGCCAATGGCTTAGTGGTAGAATCCCCGACTGACGTCAATTCAATTGGGTTTCGATCCTAGCTAGAGGCAAGCGGATGTCTAGCCACACTGATTCGCTGTGATACAGCGAAACTGTCTGTCTGTGGATGACAATATATATGTATATATATATAGCAATTAGTAGCTTAAAAGAAAAGTTTCTAATGAAAAAGTACTATGATAAAAATAAATTTTATTCTGAGGGAAAATTTTTGTTTTAACTTTTTTCTTTCTTTTTTTTTTTTTTTTTTTGTTGCAAAGCACACAATTAATTTTTTGCCCGAAATTTACAGTCTTCAACGGGTTGGTTTGGTTTGGTTTGGTTTTTGTTTTACGGCATATCAACCTCAATGGGTTAATTAATGCCGACAAAAATTTTGTTGTTGGTAATACTTTTTCCTTCAAAAATCTATTTTTGGTAATATTTTTTTCTTCAAAAACGTATCACTGGTAATATCTTTTTTTTTTTCAAAAATGTATTGCCGGTAATAATTTTTTCTTCAAAAATTTATTGCTGGTAATAATGTTTTTACAAAATGTATTGCTGAATTAAAAACCTATTTTTACACTTTCATAGTGTTTTGACCTCATATTTGAGGTTAACTATTTGCCCATAGCTGGGACCCTAAAAGGTGCTACCACCCCGACTCAGGGTGGACCTGGGAACACCAGCAATTAAGAAGTGGTTTCACGCCCCTCAAAACCTCCTGATCAGAGTAGTTCATCGTCTTACCCAGAACGCCTTACACGGGCTAGTTTAAATGGTAAGTTTAAATGGTAAGTGTTACTATAAATGATAGGAAAGCGATTTACTATTATTATGTTCTTTTATATTTTTTTAAATTATTTTATTAATTTCAATCCTGGATAGGGAAAAGTTATCTCCATTTGTATAGACTGGCAATCTTCAGACGACCGACACGTTAGCCTTTTGTGCAGTGGTCGATAATGGGGCATAAGTTAGTTGAATACTGCTGTTACTAGTAAGATTTGCAACCACCAGTTTTGAACCAGGTTTACATTGAAGAACAGCATTATAATTGCTTTTAATCATTTCACCCCAAGCAAGGCAACAAAGCCAGTAAGACGCAAGGGGTTACTAAGTATTACAAAGTATGAAAAAATTCTATTAAGGAGAGAGAATAATAATAATAAAAAAGAATTAATAAGGCAGAAGACAACGATTGACATTGCAATTTTTGAAGATCAAAGTCGACAGAGAGGCAAGAAACTGGTAGAGAGTTCCATAAGCGAGAAGAACGATAGAAGGAAACGCTAACATAGAACTTACGATTATATCTAGCCATTTGAAATCTAAAATAATGAGGCCTAGCCGTAATTCTAGTACTATTTTTAAATTTATAAAGTCTACGTACCATAGAGAAAATTTCGTCAGGACAATTACTACGAAAGTATTTATAGAAAAGGCAGAGGGAAGCTAAATTACGGCGGAGGGAAAGTGACTGAAGCCGAGATGCCAGGTCAAATGCCAGTACCATTGCAGATTCTTCTTTGGATTTTATTAAGCGTCTCTAAATATCTATATTTCTAAGATGAGGTATTATGTACACTATTTACATCATTCGGACTATTGTCCTCATCTTTGTTGCCATATTTATCACAACGTTTCGGTCGTTGTACACTTCGGCTTTCTTTAGGTGGTTGGAATGTCGAACAGAACCCTTTATGAAGAGTTGTGAGTTCAATACCGGATTAAGGCAGTGGAGAACTTGCAGAGGGGAATTAACAGGAGATAACTGACATCCATTAGACATGGCATGTGGAACTAGAACATTCTACCCCAGCGAGCGAAATAAAGGGTTCAGTTCGATATTCCAACCATCTGAAGAAGGCCGGAACATACAACGGCCGAAACGTTGTGATAAATATGGCAACAAAAATGAGTACAATAGGCCGAATAATGTAAATAGTGTCTCTAAATATATATCAAGTACACTAGTGGTAGCAGTATTCAAAGCATGGGTTTGCTGATAGATAAACCTCTAAGTTAGATTCTCAAGAGAAAAATTGTCTAGCACAGCACAGTTAACTAACTTTCCTAGCAGTAGACTTAGCAATTGATTCAATATAATCTTTCTACTTCATATCTCCGGAAAATATTAGCCTGAGAAGGAGCAACGTGTCACTCTACCCGAGTTTAGCATCGATCATGCTGACGATAGGCAGAAAAGCGTCTCTCAGGTGACTGATAGAGAGCATTGAAATACTACATATAACCGAAGTTTAATTATATGTGAATGATTATTTTAGTAAAAGAGAAAATTTCCCCATTTTTTTTTTATCTCTGAAATATTAAATTTTGTACGATTAATAACATCTTGCAGCAAAATGGCTTCCCGTCGGTTACCGTTTATTTTTAGAAACCCCACTGGATGAGAACCCCTCCTGCCTCAGGTAGTAGAAAATTTCTTTTGCGTTAAAACCTTGCCTACGGGAAATAATTATTCATGTCAAATTTGTTGTCTGCCTAACGAGAAAGAGGAAGAAAGTGTTGTCTACCGAATAGAAAACGTTATCTTAAAGAGTGTGTAAATATTCAATGTGTGTGCTTAATATATACGTATAAATATTTGATACATTATTTTCCAGAACGGTTCAGCTCCGTGTAACCGATTTATACATGATATCACTTAGGATTAATACAAATCCCAGCATTCCAAAATAAATGCCAGAATATACCCAACAAAATCTTGTTTATCAGACAGACAAGACCTAGTTCTTGATAATGACAGAAAAGAGCGAATGAACTTAAACAAAAGATCAACACCGGGGAGTTATCCACGATTATGATTCCATGATTATGAGATCTTAATGGAAAAATACATTAAGAAATTAGACAGAATTTGTTACCTGAATTTGACAAAACTTAATTAATTAATTTTTGCTCACGCCATTGTACAGATATTGTTGGATGAATTTAACAAAATTGCATACTCCCATTGCAACAATAAAATAATATACGGGCTCTTATTTTAGCTCTTAGAATATATATATAATATATATATATATATATATATATATATATATATATATATATATATGCAATTTTTATATATATTATTTATATATTATATATGCGCGGTACGAATAAGGTTTATCTGACGATAGCAAATACCGTGAAACCAAGGGTCACAAACTCACATCAACGAAGCTATATATATATATATATATATACATATATATATATATATATATATATATATATATATATATATATATATATATATATATACACAACTCCAAGAAAAAGGATCATAAAACAGAGATGCTGATAATATTTATACTTCCGACGATTCTTTTATCTGAGGAAGTGTCGGCCGAAAGGCACCTAAAATCCTGTTCTTGAACGAGATACTTTTGTATCTATTTTAATAATAAAACAGTATGATGCTTTTTCCTTGGTGTGGCAGTAAGAAAAAATCAGTTTATATATATATATATATATATATATATATATATATATATATATGTGTGTGTGTGTGTGTGTGTGTGTGTGTGTGTTGGACGTAATTTTCACGTCTGAAGATTGCGTCCGAGCATGAAACTGACTATCACCGTTTGGTGTTGAGTTCAGCTCAATGTCCACTTTTATCTTCACATACACTCTATCCCGCATATTGATCACGTTTACCCATCGCCTATATTTTTAAAAGCACATTAAAACTATATAGATAAATAGAGATATAGAGATAGAGATATAGAAATATAGAGATAGATAGATAGATATAGAGATATAGATAGATAGATAGATAGATAGATAGATAAAGATAGATAGATATAGAGATATAGATAGATAGAGATAGATAAATAAATAGATAGAGATGGATAGAGATATAGATAGATAGACAGATATAGATATACGAGTATATCTTGTAATCCGACGGAATGTTAAATATATGACAACTTTTACTTTGCCATGTTTCGTCTTCCAGCTGCGTCAACAGTACATGAAGCAGAATACTTTTCGTACATCCTTAGTAACGTAGCGAAAAGTGATAGATTTGAAGCTCCGCCAAATTATATATTCATTGTAAAAAAAAAACCTAAGTTAAAAAAATATCCTAACATAAAAACGAATTAATTTTTCGAGCCAAATTAATTATGCTATTAATTTCTACTTTTCTTCTAATTTTCAAGCAACAAACTACCGCAAACCGATGCTAAACATTTTCACTCCCAGTGGAGAGACGAAATTTGAAATAAGTCACCAGTTCTGTGCAAGAGATGCACTGTGATTTTCTCTTTAGTAAAGAACGTCTTGGTCATCAGCCTAAATACCGAGTTGATAACATCGGGAAGGTCACCATTTACATTATTCCGACTATTGTCCTCATCTTTTCTTACGGGGAAATGCTGAATCGATTAGAATTTATAGATTGGCATTGTATATGATGTCTAGCGCCAAAAACACTCTAGATTGTGATGCAAGTCCCACCATGTTTCCAAGTTCTTGAGATACAATCAGGATTGAATCACTAAGTAAATCTATGAAGGCGACGTTCAAAAATGATAAAAAATGACCTACAATCTGTTGATAACTAAAGCAAAGGATGGCTTGTTAATTTTAAAGCCTTCAAAACGAAACTGCTCTCTATTAACTATCTGAGAGTCCTCTTTCTGCCTTTCATCACAAGCCTGATTCTAACCTCCAGGAGACTGACTCGTTGCGCCTCCTCGTGCTCACATTCTCGTCTGATATAAAGTGGAAAAATTATATTGACTCAATTTCTAGGTCTGCTGCTAGGAAAGTTGGTTCATTGTATCGTGCTAGACAACATTTATCTCCAGAATCTATCTAAATATTTATATCTACTATTCGTCCATGCTTTGAATATTGCTACCACATGTGATCTGGTGCTCCTGTTATATATTTAGAGATTCTTGATATAATCCAAAGAAAAATCAACAATACTCTTGGCGTCTCGACTTCAGTCACTTTCCCATCTCTGCAAAGTTGCTTTCCCGTGCCTTGTCTATAAATACTTTCATGGTAACTCTTCGGCTGAGCGCATCGTTGTGTTACGTAGACTTTATGAATTTAAGCGCAGTAATAGGTTGGAAACAAGATCTCATCAATTTATAGTTGAGCTGGCTATATGTAACCGTAAGTTCTATGCTAACAGTTTCTTTTCTCGCACTTCTTGTTCGTGGAACACTCTTCCGGCTCCATGCTTTCCAGTCAAGCTTGATCTTCAAAAATTTAAATGCAATGCCTTCCTGATCTATCTTCTAATGTAGTCGGTCTTTAATAATATATTCCGTTTTCTATTTCTTTTATACCTAGTAACCCCTTGTGTCTTAGTGACTTCACTGCCTTGCATGGGGTGAAATCGAGTAAAAAAAAAACTAATAAGGCTAGTAATAACTACCATAAATGACATGCTAGCAAGGGATATATTATCTGTGACTATTTGGTGATTAGAATACGTATAATGACTATAAAAGTACTAGTTGTAGTAGTGAATGAAAAGAGAGAAATAGAGGAGAATAATTCCTAATTAAGTATACAAGGAATAAACATCTATATAGGTGCATATACCTGGTCAGAAAATAGAAATGAAAATCGACACGTAGAGGAATATATCCGCAGGCAGACATGTTGGGTCTTGTCAAGTTATTAATACGAGAAAAAAAAACTGTTTCAGTTGCTATATTTTTTAATAAGTATAATACATATTTTCGTAAGAAGTATTAAAACAGAGATGCTAACACTCTAGATTGTGATGTAAGTCCCACCATGTTTCCAAGTTCTTGAGATACAATCAGGATTGAATCACTAATTAAATCTATGAAAGCAACGTTCAAAAATAATAAAAAAATGACCTACAATCTGTTGTTAACTGAAGCAAAGGATGGCTTGTCAATTTTAAATCCTTCAAAACGAAACTGCTCTCTATTAACTATCTATGCAATGCCTTCCTGATCTATCTTCTAATATAATATATAATATATATATATAATATCTATCTTAATATAATATATAATATATATCTTCTACTATAATATATATATATAATATCTATCTTCTAATATAATATATAATATATATATAATATCTATCTTCTAATATAATATATACAGTGTAACCCGGATATAAGAGAGTTGTCGGGACCGGAGAAGAAGTTTCTTATATCCGGGTTTCTCTTATATCCGGGTTTCTCTTATATCCGGGTTTGGTCTATTTTATATACATTAACACAGGCTCTAATTTGGGACCAGAGAAAATCTCTCTTATATCCGGGTCTCTTATATCCGGGTTACACTATATATATATATATATATATATATATATATATATATATATATATATATATATAAACAAAATACAGATAACACTTTAAGACGTCAGAGATGAATTTGAAACTGTATTTATATTATGAACGGGACACTCCATCGAAAATGACAAAATATCGATATTTTCCAATTCTGACAAATGTCGTGATTTCAGTAAGGCTGAATGAATGTTAATCTACAAAATGTGTTAAAAATGTAACTATTTTCGACGAGGAAACCACTAAATTTAATTAGTTGCATCAATACAATAAAAAGATATAACCACATTAAAGTAAAGAGTTTTACCAGTTATATTTTTATATTATATAATGTATCGTAATCCTTTGCTTATAGATCCCTAAGGAGTATAAAACTCCGTTAAAAAAAGCAAAGAAATTTTAGGGGGAAAAAAAGCCTATTTTCATGTATGTTAGAGTAAAAAAAAAGAAGCAAAACTTGTGAAAAAAGAAGAAAAAAATGAAAAAAAAATTACGTTTTGTTTACTTTTTTTCGGAAGCATTACGAAAAAGGAATAATGACTCTTACGGTGGAGTAGTGGATAGTGGCTCGGGTTGAGGAATCGGAGAGCCGAGTTCAAATTCCATTCGAATCTATTACATTCACTTACGTGCTAATACCCTTGGGAAAGGTATGAATTCTGTTCTTCTAAGCATTGGTAAATAGAAGGACAGACTGGGTTCTATAGCCTTGGATTGCAACTGTTCTACCGCAGAAATAAATGACATCCTTCTGCGGGGAAAAAATCTGCCTCGTCAGTCATGTATCGAAAGATACATGATCGCCTAAGCGTGTATCACGCATGACACATAACTGACTGAATAATGACTCTTGGGACATAAGACCACTAAATCGCCAATACGCATTGAGAAACTAATTCAAAATAAAATTGAATAAATATTAACTTGTTTGCTTTTAATTTTTTTTAAACACTCTGAGGTATTTCTTTCGAAATTATTTATGTATTCTGGAAAATGACCGTTTATGAGTAATCTAGTTTAGTTTTCTGCACTTGCGGATATCCAAGATCAGAGAGTGGAAAGCTGTCCTCGTCTAACCCCTCAAAAGTCCGATTATGTCCGTTTTGAGCCCGAATAAAAATGGGATTGAATTCTAAACTAAGGTATATGGCGCAGTAGACATTTGTACTTGAAAAAAAAAACGCATCTTATACACACAGAATTACGGTTGTTAATGTTGTTCTGTAAAAAAAATTGCACAGAATTTTGTAGAGAAATATTTTCTTAAATATACTGATTTAAATATTTTTTTTTGTTTGGTTTGTGAGCTATACTAAGCAATAAGGATGTGCAATTATTTTATATCTCCATCTTAAATAACTACCTATAAACCTAATTAATAATGTTTACTTAAATGCGTATAATTATCTTATTACGACAAATCTTTTTTTTCTCTCTCTTTGAGGCTTGGAAATTCAAATCATGTTTGATTAGTTACTCCTGGCAGCAAAATGGCATCCAACTGGTTGCGTTTAATCGTCTGTAACTCCACCGGATGCGAGTTTTTCTTCTTTCACGAAGAATAAAATTCGCTTTTCGCTGAAACCTTTCTGTGCGTGGTGTAATTGTTACAGACTTAGAATTAGAAAACTACACACCGAATTTTAATTCTAGTCGAGATAGCTGCATTTACTTTTCGTACAATACCCTTCAGAAATATATAAAATAAATCTGTTTCCCTCCAACTATGGGTTCAATAGTGGATCAAACTGGACTTCCTCGCCATAGTTGGCAACCAGTATAGGAGAAAGATATATCTGAATTAAAAAGCCGTATGCGATCCTGGTGGACACATAGTTGAACCGTAACTAAGGTCCGCTCTGCATTGTTGAAATATAAACTACGGGTTGTCTGTGTGGACGTAAAAGAAACGCAAATGAACCTGGGCAGCTGGATATGCTCGGAAGCGAGCAACCTTGCTGAAGATGTGAAATCAGAGTGATTTTCAGGCAACAGAAGAAGGAAAATATTGGAAGGAAAAATACTAAACAACAAAGAAAAAAAATAGTAGTTAACGAATATTTCCGGAAAATTGGAAATGAAATCAAATCACAATAATATCATACAATCAAAACATCCACAGAAGAAATGTACTGGTCTCAAAAAACATTTTGAATCACATTTCAACCCTGACCACACTAAAGTAAAAATACCCACAGAAATAGAACATGTAGCAATATTTATCCAATCATTGCAAGTTCTGTATCCAAATATAAACAACAATGAATTTATTTATGCGGAAATTAAGAAAGCTATTTAAAATTGTAAGGAATAATAAATAATCATTCGACATCTTGCTTGAATTTTTGAAAATAGCTTACTTTCTGTTTGAATTCGATAATAAATTTCTGTATTTCATGAAAGAAGTCTGGAATCAGAAATGCATGCCACAAAAAGTGGTGTTTATCACGCATTAATGCACTATAGAAGCAGAATGGTAACCCTCAAGATCATCACACACACAGAGGTGTCTCAATTGAACCCATTATGGTGAAAGTATTAATGGACTCTTATCGTTTTATGAAAGTCAATTCTTCACAAACCAGTTTGGTTTCCGTTCTTCTATGGGATGTAATGATGGCATATATGTCATCAAACAACTTCAGGAAGTTCCATACCTCTTTGATAGGAAACTGTATACATGCTTTGTCGATTTCGCAGCAGCTTATGTCTACATCACTAAAAACTTCCTCTTATCCATTAGAAACCAACTTCCAAGCTCCATAACCATTGAAAGCGTCGATCTAATAGAGGAATTTTACAAAATCTGATGAGGTCCCCAATAGAGATATATTTCAAATTTCAGCAGTTGTACGACAGGGAGGAAATGAGAGCCCCAATTTATTTAATGTTTCCTAGACTATGTCCTACGCATATACAAGCACAAATGCGAAGAGATGAATACTGATTAAGCATTACATGCCACACCCCAAACGAATCTACAAATAGAAAGCAACGATCCTGGTTTCCCTCCTGAGAGCAATGTAGTGATGATGAGTGATGCTATGCTGATGACATAGGTGTTCATAGTTGGAATGCTGATGACATAGGTATTCATAATTGGGATGCTGATGACATAGGTGTTCATAGTTGGGATGCTGATGACATAGGTGTTCATAGTTGGGATGCTGATGACATAGGGGTTCATAGTTGGAATGCTGATGACATAGGTATTCATAATTGGGATGCTGATGACATAGGTGTTCATAGTTGGGATGCTGATGACATAGGTGTTCATAGTTGGGATGCTGATGACATAGGTATTCATAATTGGGATAAGAATGATCTTGAACAGAAACATCCTCTACCAAGTGTTCCAAGAAATAAGGCTCAAGATAAACATTTCCCAAGCAGAAACTATTATCTGGAATTGGAATGAAAGTAGTGACTGCACATATACTGAATCTGTCATAAAAATTCAAGATGTGGAATTAGTACATACTAAACACAATTACATCGGCGTATGGATGTTATAACAAATTTAGTATAGAAGATAAGGAAATTGAACATTGAATAGGCTGCCCTAGATTTAGTTTCGTCCAACACAGCAAGTTGCTACAAGACGAAAACATTAACCCGAAATCTCGTCATATTCTTAAATCAGATGGAGACTTTCATATGGATACCATGCATGGCACCAGAAATAACTGTCAGTTGTATACATTCGCTTTCTCAGATCAATGGTTGAAAATAACTTTGAGTGAGTGACCGTCCTTCTTTGTATGTTGTGTCGCTATAGAATCGCAAGCAAGAACTGTACCAAATAAGAGAAACCACATCATTTGTAGACTACCAACAGCAGCAACAACTAAAATGGATATCACATATAACTCGAAGAGAAAATAATGACATCGTCAAAATTTTGACACCTCACTACTTCAAAAATAAATTTAGGTAGGAAACGGCCATCAGTACTGGAAAGAATGCTGACAGTGAAATTGAGAAATCTATTTTCCTGAAAAATTGTTCGAAAAGAAAGGCTGTTATAAATGTCGAGCAAAAATAGTAGAAGCTGCCCAGTCAATAAATGCCGAATGTTTTCTTTTAGGGAAATAGCTAATATTTCAATTATTTTAAGGTCAGGTCAGGTCAGGTCAGGTCAGGTCAGGCTTAGGCCTGCTACTGGTAACATGTAACCCAGTACAATCTGCCACAGAATGGATGGTTGGCGCGTAAATCCCCA